ACAGTCGAATGCCGCTTGGAAGTCGATGAAGCAAGCAACCGTCGGCTGTTGGAATTTGTCCGTGTTCCAAAATTCTTCGCAGTGTGAATAATTGATCAACACAGCCTCTTCCAGGTCGAAATCCGGCTTGATTTGGCCTTGTTCGCACGTGGCGTTCGGCAGCGAAGTGGTTCAGGAGAATGGAAACAAAAACCTTAGCAGCGATATCAATCAGACTTATGCCTCGGTAGTTCTCGCATAGTGACCTGTCTCCCTTTTTTGGAACGGTAGCAGAACTGAGGTGCTCCAATCGGAAGGAATGATTTCGGAATCCCAAATTGAGCAGAACAGTGAGTGCAGCGAATCGATTAGCGCTGGAGTGCAGGCCTTGTATATTTCTGGAGGTAGACCATCTTCGCCCGAAGCTTTTTTGTTTCTGAGTCTGTTAATTGTTTTAGCTATTTCGGTTGGAGTGGGTGGATCGCAGTCAACTACGTAGGGTGTTGGTAAGTGTCGCATCGGTCGATGAGACGGTTGACCAGCGTTGCGATTGAGTAGCTGCTTGAAATGTTCAGCCCATCGTTCCATCTTACCATTGGTGTCCGAAATAATTTCTCCTGATGCTGTGCGTAACACCGCATGACTGTTCAGGCGTTTGCCAGATGATAGGCGTATGAGGCGATAAAGTTTTCCGAAATCGCCTACATTTGATGCTGCTTCCATGCTAGTCGCTACATTAGACCAATAGCGATTTCTGTCATTCCTAGCAGACTGTGTAGCTTTGCGCCTGAGGGAGCGATAAGCTGGAGACTTTGCTAGGCGAGCGTCTCTGGCTTGCGAGGACAGATGCATGGTGTGCTCTGAAATCCAGTTTTTCTGCTTGTTGGATGTGGTACCCAAATGCGACATTGAAGCTTTAGAGACCACTTTTTTGAAATGATTCCATCGTGTCTCAGGTGTATTAGAAGATGTGGATGTTGGTTCATCTGCGGCGCTTAGTTCGACCTGGATTTGTTCGGACAAGGCTTGTCGCTTTGTCGAACATTGAAGCGGGACAACATTGATACGCTTCGGAGGTCGCTGATTCTGGTGTGTTGTTAAACGAAGTTTGAATTTCGCCCGAACTAAGGTATGGTCCGATCCTCCTTTATTTTCGGCCTCTGTGCCACGATAGGATCGACAGTCCTCCACCGAGGAGATCCAGCGTGAGCGCACTAGGATGTAGTCGATCTGATGTGCAGTGCGACCGTCGTTCGAATACCAGGTGAGATGTTTTCTAGGGTGTTGAAATCGAGTGTTGGTGATATATAATCGATTGCAATCAGAAAAAGCTAAAAGTCTATCACCAGCGCTGATCGAGACCGTGTTTGCCTAGTATATGTTTTGTCGCGTCGTCTGAAGGGCCAGTGCGGGCGTTCCAATCGCCGGCTACTATGAGAACGTCACGCTTTGGGATTTTGTTGATTGCCTCTTGAAGATTGTCATAAAATTCGTCTTTGATACTTTCATCACAGTCGAGGGTTGGGGCATAGACAGCGAGAACAGAAATGTCGAGCGGGGAACCCTTGAACCTAGCGATTGCAACTCTGGAGTTGACCGGTTCGAATGATATTAGGGCATTATTGGCTTTGTTACTGAGAGCAAATGCTACCCCATGTTGTCCCGAATTATTCTGGGGTCCACTATGAAGCAACCAGAATGAAGAATCTGTTCCAGGTACGGCTATTCGGCGGGAGCCATGATCGGGTAACCTCACTTCAGATAGACACGCTATGTCCCCTTGTATTCGTATAAAGAACGCATGGTGATAGACTGGCTACCAGGATCCAACAGCGTCCTAACATTCCAGCAGCCAACAAATAGTTGGTTTCTAAGTGTTAATTTCCCAGCTGGCTTACTTTTCACACTGGCCACCGGGTGAGCACAGGGCGCCTTCGCTTACCGGGAACGCCGTAGCATGGTGAGAGTTGTTTGTAAGAGAGTTCATGAAGTTTCATGGGAATTAGGTATGAGTGATGTCCCCAGCATCGCTCGGCCTTTTGTTTGAGAGTGCAGCTCTAGCCTTTACACAACCAAGTGAGACCTACAAGGCAGTAGGAGTGGAGTAGGGAGTCCACTATCCATTGGCAGTCGGTGACCGGAGTCCGGTTCATACGGCTTTTTGAATGGGACCAGACATCCAGGGCATCCAATAAGCCCTTTGTCCATACGTCTGCCGGTGAGCTTCATACGCCAGTCGTTGGAGGTTTGGAATCAGGGTTTAGCCATCTCTCCTAGACCTTCATCCAATGGACAGTCAACCCGGTGAAGAGCGCCGGGCATCCGCTTTCGCCCTCTCACTTCGGTGAAAAACACCTCCGCCACGTGAAGGCAGTGAGCAGGACTTCCTCAGGAGAGGCTATGTAAGACGCCCGGTCATATGGGAACATTTCAAGAGGTGTGCGGAGAGGTGGCCAACCCGCAGTGCAAGGCACCCACCCCCGACCATCCTGAGGCTTTGTGTATTGCTAACTTATAAGGTTATACATCTCAAGAAAATTACAGTTTATAAGACTGAAGTCTGTTCATCAATGGGTTGAAATCACGAATGCAGATGACTATTTAATAAACGCAAATCAAATCAAGCGGGTGAACGATAGACAGCACTCTCTTTCTGCAAGCATAAGTTTGTTAACCAAACTTAAAAATGTCTGATTGCAATCACTTCCGTATTATTATTTATTTCTTTTATTTTTTTCCCTGTGCGTCCTAAGTGGAACATTTAGTTCCAAGCTTCAACTTTGAAGTTTCAGTAGGGGTGGTTTTATTCTTACAGGATGCGCTTTCCAGTTTCACGCCCAACATGCGGACTTTTATGAGAATAACCTGCAAATCATCTAGTCGCACAACACACTAAGCCATATGAATCAAGAAGTTATAACCAAAGAAACTAATGGACAGACAGCATATCTTATTTGGCACATAGCTTCAAACAAGGAGTTATCATTCCTGAGGTATGAGATACGTGACTAGCCTATTATAGAAAGTCAGTTCAATGGTCTAAAAGCACATGGGCCAGAGCAGTAAAAAAGTAGTCTTTTTGCCTTCGTTGAAACTTCTGGGACACAACAACTTTAAAGAAGTCAAAATGTTAAGAAGCAAAAGTTACGTCTCTAAAGAATGAAGAGGTGCCAGATTATATGAGCGAACTATAAATTAACAGTAAATACAAGAACACTTAGTTCTAAGTAATATTTCTAGCCAACTATTCGGCTAAGACTAAGAAATCATCTTTAAGACTTGTACTACTGTTCTCTTGTTAAAAAAATACCAGGTGCGTTTTGGCTAATTATTCATCTGTACAAGTAAACAAGAACTTCCTCTGACTTTATAAGAGACTTCCGGCATAAACTCAAACAAAAATTCCTACAAAAGTAATAATGGCAGTTGAACTATGCACGATTGACAACTTCGAAATGGACACACAAAAGTACAGAAAAGAAATGTACCGAGACTATTACCTATTACAAGCATGTCCTGTAAAAATTTGTGGGAAATGAATATTTAGTAGGTAAGCTGCACACCACAATATATATAATACTTCCACAAAAAATGTTGAAAGATTTAGTTCTTATGTTAATTAGCGCAACCTATCTGCAAACTCTGATAAACTACGTCTACCCATAGGTTGGAATGCGATCGAAATCAAACGACAGATAGAACTACTGGTTAAGTTTTGGAAACATTTAGAGATGAAACGACATCTGTTACTTTCTGTTGGCCAATAGATGTATAGTCAAGGCACTACGAAATAAAATTATACTATTTTAGCGAACCGACTTGTGAAAAAAATAATAGCTTGTTAAAACACAATTATTACTATAACCTACTACTATGGTCAGCGAAACATTCAAACTTTTAAAACTATAAGGCTCTACTTCATGCAAAGGAAGTAAGAAGCTTCATTATCGATAAGATTTTATTTTGATAAATCACACGGTGTTGTACAGTAATATTAACCAATGACGTTTCAAACCTACAAACTCAATCAGAGACAAGCTCTGTAGGTTAAAAGACCCGGTGATCCCAATTAAACAAAATAATATAATTAGCAAAATACCTTGCAATGACTGTGACGTCAACTACATAAGTCAAATCAGTAGGTTAATGGGAGTCATATTGTCGGAACATAAGAATTTAGCTATGGTAAGAATGTTATAGGTTTCCAGACCGTAGGTGTTACGAATTTCCTGGAATAATTTGAGCGCCGAGTCAGATTGATTCATTATAAATTATTTAAATTAATCCCAGCGTGTTAAGAAAATCAAAACAAGATTTTTCTGAACGTTTCGCCGTGTAAGCCACAGCTTCTTCAGCAGATTTATTCGGATTATAATTAATCATCAAAATATCTGCTGAAGAAGCTGTGGCTTACACGGCGAAACGTTCAGAAAATTCTTGTTTTGATTTTCTTAACACGCTGGGATTAATTCAAATAATTTATTATGGTAAGAATGATTGATACCCTGGGGATAGGTAATTTACAGGAAAACCCAGAAGTCGCAATGCATGCATTAACACACAATCACACCATATAAGGGAGAGTTAAGATTCTGAGAAGTAATATAAGCAGGTGGAGAGAGATTGATTACCTAATTCCGGTTCATTGGGTCTATACCTAGTACACGCAATAGAAACGACTAAAGGCACATACCAGAGATATGGAAGATATTATTACCACCACTCAAATCAGAGGAGGATAATAAATAATCTTAAAATTCTAGTTTAACTCACGTACATCATAACATTCTAACAAGTTACTTATATTGACTATAAAAAAATCTTATTTTCCATTCGAAAATATTTGATCAATAGCACTCACAATATTAATTCTGAATGTACATTATCCTATATTGATTCTTATTCAAATGTCTAATCAATTCCACTCATGTATATAAATGAAGGAAAAAGTTGTGTGGGTGACTTGATATGATTATAAGCAATATTTTGTGCTCGAGATGTCGTCAGTTAATATTAGTGTGCAACACTGTGTGATTTATCAAAAAATCTTACCTATAATGAAGTTATACTCAACCACAGTAGCCAAATCTTATACTTATATAAACTAAGAAGCTAATGATCTTTTCAAACAAGATTATGTTGACACAGTAACAAAAGTAAAGATACAATAAACAATTTATATTCAAATAAATTTTATATACATTGACAAAGTTGCACAGTTTAAAGAAAACCTAAATCTCTGGTCCTTCTCCACCAGGCACCATCATAGCAATATTGCTACCATTTAATAGGATATGTGATAACTTCGTTATACGTTTGCCTTGTGATGTAAATTCAAATTCAGTAACATCAACTAAGACCATGTTCACATAACCGTCAAACCCAAGCAAGGTGCCTACCATTTCCTTATCATTTTTCATAATTATATGAATTCTAGAACCTATACATTTATCCACTAGTTCCAGAGGAAGAAGATGAGGTCCAGTCAGCGACATTTAACCAGGATCTACAAAAAAAAGTGCAACACATAAACTAGTAATGTATATTTTTAAATAACATTCGGAAACAGAGCATGCAGCTTGCTAAAACCACAGTTTAATAAACCAGATATGACTTCTAGGCACTTTGTTTTATTTTCCACATATCTCTGATAATTAGGATCTAGATGTCACTAAACATATGGCAAAATATACCACAGTTTGTTATTAAATTATATTGATCAGATGATTGTATAAACAAACACCCAAAGTGCAGTCACAATTAGAAACCAAGACGATCACCAAATACATGAAAATTTCCCATTCGAACATTAATAGACAGAAGACCCGTAGTTCAACGAAGTCTCTTCGGCGAATTCATTTTCATAGCTGTACAATCGCAAATAAAGATGGTTGTTTTGCATGTGTTTGCACATTAAATTTGTTAAACGAAAATACACTTAGTAAGTTCAGATGGATTGGATGTTGATGTAAGATGGTAGTAACAAAAGTGATGAGTTGTCACAAACGATTGTTAAAGAAGAGTTACGTAATAATGTGAATATTTTGATGAAAGAGTTGTGCTCAGGGTGTACATGGAAACAAAATAACATACCGAATTACGCAAGGGTTTTAAGTAGTTAGAAAAAATAAGGATACAAACATGAGTTAAGTCAAATCAACGGAGTTGTTACCATGATAGTAGAAATGGCTGAATAATTTTCCTTTGTATGCATTATTTATTTATTTAAACGCATAAAAAACTTGGTACAATATGGCACCAAGAAAGATGCGCCACACAATAATAATAAAACAACATAGATCAAAAAAAAGGAAGGAAGGAAAAGAAAAAATATATGTAAGTAGAGAACGGATAAAGAACTTCATCTGGAAGGAAAACAGTCATGCTTAACAAGTTCAAACAGTGTTCGTTAGCTATCATCGGGAAGGGAAGAAAGAAGGAAATCGCAACACATTCGCCACTGATTACGATTCTTGGCCATATCCGATAACGTTTCGAGCCATCGATTTGAGCTATCTCTCGGACCCCAACCAGGGAGTCGCGACACACCAACCGATGCTAATCTAGCACAAAAATCCTTCATCCCACGACGCCACGTCATGGACTGACCACCTCTCCGCCTTTTCCATCTCGTCCCAGGGCTAGCGAACAGAGACCTGTACGGAAGCCTCTGGGATGACATTCGGAGCACATGTCCAAGCCACCGGAGCCGGTGTTTCCAGATGACGACATTCAATGAATGGTGATCTCCACTTTGTTCAAACACACGCCGCCGAACCTCAGAATTACTCACGCGATGATGCCATCCATCGAACGCAAGCAATCCTGCGGAGACAGTGGTGATCGAACACGCAGAGTCGCCGCACATCCTCAGCTCGGAGAGGCCAGGTTCCACAGGCGTAGAGCAGCGCAGCCCGCACCGAAGCATTGTATACCCGACCTTTGACAGCCAGGCTAACGTCGCGACGGCGCCATAGGTGGCTCAAGTTGATGTATGCCACCCTAGCCTTCATTATACGGTTGGAAATCTAATCCGTCACCCCTCCGCCAGCACTCACACAACTACCCAGGTACACAAACTTATCAACAACTTCAAGCCCGACCGAAAGCTGCTACCTTGACGTGGTGGTCGGGCTTGAACACCGCAATGATCTATTCAAGCTATACTGGCTGAGACTTATGTCTCTTGAGGTTCTACCATGCCAGGCAGGTTGTTTGGATAGCGGTTAAACAAAAAGCAGCTACCCAATCCAACATCATGTCCAATACAAAATTACAAAATTTCATGCCGGATCGGCCGTGGCCCGGATTAACAACGACCGCGCTTCCTGCTGCCGTGTCACAGGGCAGGAGTGATAAATCTGCTACTGAGACACACCAAACAAAAAAGAACGAACAAAAACAGGCCGCGTGTGACCGGCCTCAAGCAGTTGTCCCCTGGGCTCTGCGGTCACGCAACCAACTTCCACGGTGTGGGCAGCCGGGAAGTAACAATCGCCCTCACAATCCGAAATGCACACGAAACCTCTCTATTACTCACTCATCTTTGTCTTCATCTTCATCTCTATCATCTTGCCTTCCTTCCACTGATGCAACTCCTCGACTTGATAGCTCTCCACTTCCTCTCCACTCTGCGTCCACTAAAAACGATGGAAGCCAAAAAACCACCACCGACAGCCTCTTAAAGCCGCGCCACCAATTTCATATAGGAGCTCTTAATGTTAGGACACTTTGCCAAATAGGACAACAAGCATCACTAGCCAAGACCCTGGCATCACGAGCCATTGATGTATGCTGTGTTTCAGAAACACGCATACAAGACCCAAGTGTGGTTATTCACCTAACCCCACCTGGCCAACAGGTTGAATCTGCAAAATTCACCTTGAGGGTGTCAGGAGATGCCACAGCTAGTTCACGAGGATTAGCTGGCGTAGGGATAGCTTTGAGTACTAGGGCAGAAAAGACATTGCTTGACTGGATCCCGGTAGATAGCCGAATGTGTGCTGTCCGCCTGAACGGATCAGTAAGAAGGAGGAAGGACTGCACTACTCGCCGATGCCTTTTCGTAATCTCCGCCTACGCCCCCACTGACTGCAGTTCAGATGAAACGAAGGATGAGTTCTACCAAAAGCTGTCTAGTTTGGTGGAAAGGCTAAACGCTCAGACATAGTCGTTCTAGCTGGTGACTTTAACGCTCAAGTAGGGAAATTGTGTCAATCTGAGAAGGATGTCGGTGGCACCTATGGAGCTCCGTGCCAGCGAACCGACAACGGTGACCGTCTCCTACAGTTCTGCTCTGATAATCATTTGTTTCTTGTAAGCACTAACTTTAAACACAAGGAGAGACACTGTTTGACTTGGAGACCCCCTTCATCAAACCAACGCTGGACACAAATAGACCACATAGCAATAAGCTATCGTTGGCGTGGGTCGGTAGGAGATTGTCGCTCCTTCTGGAACACGTGCGTAGATACCGACCATGCACTGGTCCGCGCTCGGGTGTGCTTACGACTGAACGGACGTAGGAAACAGCTGGCGGTAAAACCATCACGTCCCCAGCTCGATCAGGAAACTAAATCCGTATTTCAGGAAGAACTAGCTAAACACATATCTGTGTTCGACAGCTGTGCTCACCCTGAAGAAGCTTGGAAAAATATCCAGGCAGCCATAGATACAGCTGTAAAAGCTGTGAATAAGGTAAACCCAAAGGTGAGTAAAAACCACTGGATCTCCACCGCCTCATCCGAACTGATAGATGCTAGAAGACTTATTCCGGCGAGCTCCGAATTCAATGAGGAGCGAAAGCTGCACAAGAGGAAACTTACGAAAAGTCTCCGCAAGGACCGTGAACAGTGGTGGGCGACAAAAGCCAAAGAGATGGAGAAAGCTTCGAGGATAGGCAACACCAGGCAACTCTTTGGACTCATCAGGGAAACGGGTGGGAGAAGACAAATCATTAGTGAGACAATCTCGGAAAAAAATGGCACTATAATTAGCTCCCAGGATAGACGACTGGATCGTTGGAAAGAGCATTATGAGGAGCAGTTTAATTTGCCCACAGCCACGCTCAACCTTCCGAGCATCCAACACCTCCCTGAATGGGATATAGACACAGGTCCTCCGTCACTAACTGAGGTTACTAAAGCTGTCACCAATCTGAAACTAGGCAAAGCAGCGGGACCTGATGGAATGACTCCAGAGGTATTTAAGTACGGTGGAGACAGCTTACTGTCCGGATTAACTGAGGTACTAGGCAGCGTCTGGGAATCAGAAGAAGTCCCATCGGGTTGGTGTAAGTCACTGATTATCCCCATATACAAGAAGGGAGACAAGTCTTCCTGTGATAATCACAGAGGGATTAGCTTGACTAATATAGTATCTAAAGTCTTAGGCTCAATAATCATGCGTAGACTGAGTGGTGCTCGGGAAGCACAAACACGAGAGAGCCAGGCAGGCTTTAGACCAGGAAGAGGGTGTATTGATCATATCTTCACCCTCCGACAGATTCTAGAACATAGGCATTCCTACCGGCGTCCAACAGTCATTATATTTCTTGACCTAAAGGCAGCATTCGACTCTGTCGATCGGGAAGTTCTCTGGAGATGCTTGGCTGTAAAGGGAATTCCAAGAAAATATATTGCACTGATTAAGGCACTCTACTCGTACTCATACAGCCAGGTGAGGGCTTACGGCGAGCTGTCATCTGAACTGATGACGACCAGTGGTGTCCGTCAAGGATGCCCATTATCTCCTTTTCTATTCAACTTCATCATAGATGTGTTAATGGACTTAACCCTAGGTGACTTCAGCGACTCAGGGATTGACTTGCTACCGGGAATAATCTCGTTGACTTGGAATATGCAGACGATATAGTCCTTCTAGGCGAAGACGCTGACGAAATGCAGAGTCTTCTAAACACCTTGAGCCGCAATCTACGAATGTTTGGCATGCGATTCGCTCCCGCCAAATGCAAGATGATGTTACAGGACTGGACTACATCGACGCCTAGTTTAAAAATAGGAAGTGAAGTGGTAGAGCACGTTGACCGCTTCACTTATTTGGGAAGTACCATCAGCCCCAACGGGCTGATCTCTGACGAAATCTCAGCACGAATACAAGGGGCTCGTTTCGCATTTGTTAGTTTACGCCGACTCTGGCGTAGACGAGATGTTCGACTATCGACCAAAGGGCGGGTGTACTGCTCATCAGTCCGCTCCGTCCTCCTTTATGGTTGTGAGACCTGGCCACTGAGAGTGGAAGACATGAAAAGACTAGCTGTCTTTGATCATAGGTGCCTGCGTTCTATTTCCCGTGTAAAGTGGCATAATAAGGTGAGCAACATGGAGGTTAGGCGTAGAGTTCTAGGTAAACAGGGGAAATCAATCGACGAAGTCGTGAAGCTACAAAGACTGAGATGGTTAGGACATGTGTTACGTATGCCAAGTCATCGCCTCCCTCGACGAGCTATGTTAGCGGATATAGGGTCAGGCTGGAAAAAAGCTAGCG